CATATGTTAAATGACCCTCTAAGTCATTTTGGTTTCGAAATGACCCAATGACTAGTCATTTGTCATTTGGGTCATTTCAGGTCATTTACCATCACTGCTATGTATACATATATAGATCTATATATTTTTTAAAAAATTTACATAAGATCACATTAATCCATCTTTCAGAAAAGCTCCTATATTAATCCATTATTTCATTTTATTTTCCTCTCGTTGTCGTAAAGAACTTACTTTTCATCTTTTAGGATATCACCATATTAATTCATTATTCATATCGTTCTTTCCACGTTGCGTAAAGGTTCTTTTTTTAAAGGTTATTGCAGTAATATCTACGTTTTTCTTACAGATCTCATCAACGAATGTAATGAATTCAGAAATCTCCAGTAACAAGAAGTAAGAAAGCTATTTTTTCTACTGAGTATTGCTCGTTTAGTGCATGTGCATGTGTAAGTTACATTGCAGTCTCTCGGATTCCACATGCCAGAGAAATCACTCGTGTAGACATGCGTATTCTGAAACTGTAGCTGATATGATTATGACCGAAGGTCATGCTATGGACTAGGAAAACATGATAATAACTTGATGAGCTTTTTTTTTAATGCCATACTAAAAGAAGATGATCAAGAGTATGTGATTGCTTATGCCAGCCATATTTTAACTCCTGTTAAACAAAACTATAGCACTGTCAAACTTGAATGCTTTACAGGTAAATATTTCAAGCACAGTATCCATATTAAATTTATCAATCTAGACATTACTTTTTCCAATATATACACATTGGAGATGTGCCTGTCCATTTAACAGATAAAGTTGTTCTTAAAGAAGTCAAATTATATGTAGTTATTGGATGCAAAGCAGCCAATAACAGAATTATTGTAAAACAATTCATTATCTAGCTGCGAAATTTAATATTTCAACTTCGGGCCCCGAAGCGGCCCAAAAATGACGCATATTAAATTCGCAGCAAACAAGTTATTAGTTGCGTAGCATTCAATAACAATATTATAACAGTGGAATGACTAGAGTTCTTTTGGTAATCATTGTGTTATTATCAAAAAAATAATTTGATGATGATTATCACAAGTCGAATCAGGCTCCAACCGGCATCACATAATCCCAATTTGAACCTGATTTGGAAAGATATTTGGCGGAAATAGGAGACCTTTAGGATACAAATCGGGTTCATATAGGTGTTCAATACA